TCTTGTCTGATTTCTCTGGCCTTCCTGCTGCATCTTCATTTAGTACCTAGCATACGTGCTTGCACACAGTAGGTATTTAATACTAGCCCAGGGGATGACAGCACACAGGTAGGTTTTTCTGCCGTCTTTCCTCCAGATCAGTTTGTCTGTTTGCTTCGCAGCTTAGCACCTCCTCTTCTTCCAGACAGGCTGGGGAAAATGGGACTAGACCGTACGTACATCCAGCCTGCAGGGGCTGCAGAGAGTGGAGTCCCCGAGACTAACGACTGTCTTCTCTAGAGGACCAGGTTAGGGGCTTCCCTCTGTCGATGGGGGAGGGGCAGGGTACCAAGTCCCTCAGCGCGAGCATGGCATGCCAGTGACTGTCCAGTTCCATAGGGTTCAGACACTGCTGCCTTTGTTTTGAAAACGACGAAAGTCACATGCTTTCCTCCCTGCCCGGTGCCCTCTGGAGGAGTGTGTCTGGCTACTCTGCATTCTTCCTGTTGCTGGGCTGGCTGCAAGGGGAAGACCAAGGGTAGATCCTGTCTGGAGTTCAAGGATAGCTAGCCAGAGTACTAACTGTAGTCCGGCTGCAAAGTCTTAGCCTTAATTTCGTCTGCCAGCTGTTACTAAATCACACACATTGATGGGAAGTTAGTTGTATCATCTGGAAAAACGGGGTTGCCACAAGTTCTTTCATTTTGAAAGGCACACGAGGGCAAGCAAAGGGAATTCATCTCGACATTCCAGAACTCTCTTTTAAAAATCCCAGCCAGTCTTTGATTTTTTTTTCTCCTCATAATGCAGCATAGAGCACCACGGATAGGTCCAATCAGTCGTCATTTCACATACCATTTGGTCTGAAGCTTGTACTGAGCTCCAATAGTTTGTCTTTGGGTCACATGTTACCCAAGGTAACAGATCAACAGCAGTGTACTTCCCAAGCCACATGGGGAGGGTCCAGAGCTTGTTCTTCAACAGTCTGCAGCCAAGGCTGTTCTTCCCTGAGCCTGAAATGTGGCTATTGATGATTCACAAGGCCAACAAGCTCATGTGGGTGATCCAGGGGTAGGAGAAGTGTGCTTCTTTCATGGGTCTTCTGCAAACTTCGCTTTTCAAAAGTGCCTCCTGTTGCCCATGGGCTGATGCTCCCTTCCCTTCCCCTCCTCAGAGTGGTGATGGGAACAGAACGGTGGCCTGGCACATGCACTCTACCACTGAGGTGCACCCTCAGCCCCCAGATGCATATTTAAATGCTCCACTTCACTATTACCTCTGCCCAGATGCCAACCCTCCATGAATTTTCAGTCAGCTCCAGTCCTGCACCTTCAATTACCCACCTGGTATTTTCTCTTGGGATTACAGGATCCTTTGATCTACCTCCCTCATATTAAAATCAAGAAAGTCCAGGGAGGTAGTGTGGCTTTGCCAAATTCCCTCAATCAGAAAGGACGAGACAGGATGGCAGACACCTCCATTTTCTAGCACACTAGTGTTCTGTTCACAGTGTCCATGGAGGAAGACAGGACATCCTTGCACACCCAACACGGTGACTAGCCATGTCCTGATCCTCCAAGCCTGGCTCTGCCTCCTGAGTTTCTGGTCTCTATGAAACAAGCTCTGAGAAGGCAGAGCTCACAGATCCACACACATGACTCTCTGCTGCTTGCCCCAAAATGGCATTCATCAGGAGCTCATATTTTATCTTTTTTTTTTTTTCACATTTTATCTTGATATACGCATGAGTAAATGATTATGAGAACTGGCTATTACTGTAGCGTCTGAGCCTGGATTTCCTCAGTTCACACTCTTTCCCCAGCCCCTATTGACTCACCAAACACCAAGTTCTACTGGTGTGGTCCCTCCTGGTTCTCCTTTTAGTTTCTCATCTCTTTCCTTCCCTCCCAAGCTCCAGCCCTAATCTTAATCGACTGGAGAGAACTTCATCTCTTACCCTCAGCATTTCCTTCTTGCATGCTTTCCCATCCATAGCCATTCAGGATAAAGGTCTCTTGAGGTGTCTCCGTATCTGCCCTTGACACATCCCCTTCTCCAGTGTCGCCCTATACTTCGTTTGCCCCGCCTGCCTAGTTTACTCTGTGAAGTCTGAGCATCGCTTAGGCCCAGACAAATACAGCCTGCGCCACTATGACAACCACAAAGGAATGTAGCAGCCACAGCAGGTAGAAGGCTGGAAACGCCATCATGTGTCAAGCACTGCACAGAGTTATTCATACGCATTATTTTATTAACCTTCACAAAACCCCTAGGAGGTAAGACCAATTATTAGCCTCATGTTACCGTGGTAGAAACTCACGCTCAGAGGTGTCAGGGCATTTACCAAAGGTCACAGACCCGGTACCAAAACAGATGGAATTCATACATAATTCTATCAGACAACCAAGCCATGCTCTTAACCTCTAGGCTGCTGTTGCCTAAGACTATTTTCTTCCTCCCACAGCCCCTCATGCTGTTCAGCCACTCATGTGCAAGTTTTCACGTTATCAGCATTTTACTGAGCATCCTCTTCAGGACACATCTTTCTTGTCCCTGGTCACGTGGTAAGCCATGAGAGAACAGGAATTACATTTCTGGGCCCTTCCAGGTTTTGCCCCATGTGTACATTGCTAACCGAACAGGAGAGTGGAGGACTCCATCCTCCGTTAGTTTTCTTTTCTTTCTTTTTAAAAACTCTTCCTTTAGGTGACCAGTCTGTTTCCCTCCCAGGACCACAGGGAGGTAAAAGACTGTAACCCAAAGAGAGGAAAAGTCCTGTGTTCAGGTCCTGAGTCTTATAGCCAGGTAGAACATCCCTAATCTGAACCTTTCTGCGTGTCTCCAGCACATTGCAGATGAAAATTATATACCAGAAAATGGTTTTATGCACAAAATTCAAAACAAAACAAAAACCCCTACCTACTGTACGTAAATGACCTTCAGGCAGTCCATGTGGGGTGTATATGAAACCCAGATGAGAGTCTGTGTTTGGACTTGCGTCCTGTTTCTACCATGTCTCTTATACAAACATTTCAAAACCCACAAAATCTGAAACTCCAAACAAACACTTCTGGCCCCAAGCCTTTCAGATAAAGGACGCCGGTTCTATATTTGCATATGCTCTGTCTCGGAGACAGGCCTGGCAGCATTTACTGGACCGACTGGGGAATTTTGAAGCTTTGACTCCTGAGGCCTTTGTATGGTTACAGATATTCCAAGGGAAAGCTAAAGTTCCCCAAGCTCCTCTAGTAGGAACCACTGTGGGACCAAATTACTTTCCTGAGAACGATAAATGCAGCTGACAATTACACATCTCTGTTTATACATGACTACAGTATGTCTGTTAACTGATCCATGTAAAATTACCACCACGGGACCACACAGATCATTCTGCATATGGAAAAAAAAATGTTAACGTGGGGCTCAGTCATTGGGAAGCTGATGGACATCGGGTTAGTCAGTCTCTCTCCCTCTGGGCCTCTGTTTTTCACTTGTCCTGACAGTCTGGGATATTAATTAAGACGATGGGTTGGTCGGAGTTCATGGCAGTCCTAAGTTTTTAGAATCCAAGAAACGAAATACTGGAAAAGCTGGCGAAGGTGCCACCCCTGGGTGAGCACCAGGCTTTGCTCTTGTACTTCGCTGCTTACTGACATCTCCAGCCCAGGAGCTCTGCCTTATTTACGTAAGGCCCACCTGTCTACAGAACAGAGCACTCACGTGCTCCGGCTGCACCTCTGCCACATACTCTTTCCCGTCCCCAGAGGAAGGAGCAGGCAGCCTCCTTGTCCCAGAGGCCTTGGCAAAGTCATCTCTACCTCCCAGTGCCTCACCTTTCAAAGATGTCCATGCCCTCTGTGCGCTCTGCATGTCAGACACCAAAGGATTCACAAGGCCCCAGCCCCCAAGGTGGGAGGTGGGGGAGGCAGATGGCCTGCATCTGGAAGCCATCACTAGCTCCCTGGCTATGTTCACAAACTAAAACCCCCCATTTGTCACAGGGGAAAGTGACAGTTGTAGTTTTTTTTTTTTTTTTTCTCCCCTTTTAGTCTCTCACAAGACCGCTTAAATGGAATAGAAGCTAATGAAGGAGGCTGATAGGCAGGCATGCTTGCTCAGCCCCGTATCGCTGTACCCATCTCCCAAACTGCTCTGAACCCACAGAATGGCTTTGCGGGCAGAGACTCAGAAAGCGCAAACCTTCTAAAGGCAAGGGCCAGGGAACTGTGGGGTCACATAGGAACCCATCACAGTTATTAGGCAAATTCAAATCTGGAGTGTTGGGACAAGTCTGCTTCTGGACTGCGGCGACAGTGCATGGAGGTGTCCATGGTAAAACTGTGCAGAGCTGTTCACGCTTGCTCTTGCTCTGTGCAAAGGAAATTAAAGTCTGAAGACTTGGGTTCATGGACTACATTGAAGTCAACTTGCTGTGTTGCTATGGGACAAGGGTTAAGTAGAATGTTACCACTAGGGAACTGGTACCAGGACCTATCTATGATTTCTTGACATCTTGTCAATCAATAATGATTTTTAAAATAAAACGTGAAGAGCCAACGGATGAAAAGTCCAGTGCAGTGGGAATGGACTTGGACTTGTGTCCCCAACATCCTGGGACACAAGTTTTAATGCTGTTTCATAAGGGGCTGGAGTCCAGCCCGTTTACACCAATGACGTTATCACCACCGTCGTCATCACTGTCGCCACCAGCGTCACTTCCATCCCAGTCATCATTAGTGCTTGAATTGACTGACTCCTAGGAATGTGACTTCTCCTTCTTCCCCTCCCTCTCTCCCTTCCATTTTCTTAATTGCATACAACCCTTGTACCAAACTACCAAAGACCGTGGGAGAAGCTAGCTGGCACCACAGCCGTGCAGCTTTGGTGCAGCCAGGCTCTGACCCAGGAAGAACAGGGCTCTGTGAAGCTCTCCACCTCTCAAGCCACCTAAAGTGCCCCCCCTTCCTCCAGAGAGCCCAAGGGAGCTCTATCTGCTCCAAAGCAACAAACACAGCACTTACAGATTCTTCACGTCTGCGATGCCGCGGAATGCCTTCCTCGGAACACCCTGGATCTGGTTCTCGCTCAGATCTCTAAACAAGAAGAGAAGAGGCAAACCAGTTAAGGACCGAGACCACATTCTCCGCATCTCATTACGATAACAAAACCCTCGGAGGCTGCCGGGGCTGCCCACTAGAAGTGTCTGAGGGTTGTTTAGTCTCAGGCCCCTGGCTGTTACAAGCCTATACATTGTTCTGCAAGTGAGGACTTTTGCAGAAATAGTTACTAGGAGGGGATGGGTTTGCCTCAGGGCAGGCACTGTGGGTGGTCTCACACCTCCAGGCCACGAGCCAAGACTCCAGGTTATTTGTTACACACACTGCACCCCATTCAGTTCTGGCACCTCCCGGAGAAGACCCTTACTCCCCTTCCCTCAAGACATCCCTCCCTAACTCAAGGTCAACACCACTCACTCTCCCGTTTCTCAGGCCGTCCTTTGATGCTCAAATTCTCTGCTCTTGCCATTTGGGATTGGAACTGAGCCTGGTCATTGGGGCTTTCTGATAGGGACAGAGGGACTCTTATGCATTTCCACACATCCCATCCAAAACAGGGGTCTCACCCCTCATTCTGCACTGAGGGATGCCAACCAACACACCGGCTGCTTCGAAGTAGGCATCGAAGAATGTGGTGTGTGGCTGGCTCCAACCCAAATCCTATCGAAGGATTTAAGAATCCCCTAGCACCTCGATTTCCTTCCCCCAAATCATGCAGGCTTTTTGGGTTTGGTTTGTTCTCTGGTTTCATCTCTGTTTTTGCTAGACCAACCACGTGCGTTTGTTTTCATTCAGACCTCAAGCCTGCTTGGATCTCAGTGAGTAATCAATCCATAAAGACCCATCGGAGCCCCAGGCGTCCGAGGGAGCCCTGCCAAACACTGCAAGCAGCGAGGCTATTCCCATTCAGCCACCTGCTACAGGAGCATCTTCAAAGAGGTCGGGGCAAGGAGACGCACGTGTGAAGATGGGCCTGCCTGACTGCATTTTTTTTTTTTTTTCAGACATGAAAGGTGTCTATACGCACATACTCACAGACACAGATATACATGTCTGGGATTTTGAAAAGAAAACCCCTCAAATAATGAAGGGAAAAAGCCAACCATAGACATAACCACTGCTAACAACTAGACACAGAGCATATAAATTTCACTGGCGTGACCTCCTAATGTACAGCCGGCCTATCCTAAGCCGCTTTTCACACGCTATCTTAGGAACATCTGTCTGTGTCTTCACCAAGCACATCAATGCCAGTATTTTTAATGGCAGCACAGCATCTGATTGTATATTCTGTTCATTGTATGGACTGTGATTGTAAAGTGGGTGTTGGCTCAACTTCTGTCATGTAAAGAAACATCAGGATTAGATGGGCAAGATGGCCCGCCCAGCAGGTAAGGAACTTGTTACCATGCCGGACAACCCGAATTTCATCTCTGGAACCCACGTGGTAGAAGAAGTGAACTGATTCCTACAAGTTGTCCTCTGACCTTCACAGGTGTGCCAAGACATGGGTACACACGTGCATATGCACACATACATACAAAGTGTGAAAAGAATTTTTTTAAAAAGGAAACACTAGAACACATTTCTCTGTTCATACCCTTGGGGGTACGTCTTAGGAATTTCCATGGTACAAGGTCCTCCTGGGAGAGCTTGCTGGCCGCAGGAGAAACTCATCCTTGTCCAGTTCTCTCACAGATAGATTGGTGATGGATGCTCACGTGCTGATTTTTGAGACACCTCCTCAAAAGCTATTTCATACATACATGGAAGAAGAGGCCAGACGGCCACATTCTACCAAAACTCGGGCAGTCTACAGGGACAGTTTGCAAAACGGGAGGAGGGCAAATCAGAAAGCAGAAGAGAGACATCATCTATCTTTCTTCTTCTGACACCTGCTGATAAGTGACACACACTCTGAGCAGCTGGCTGAACTTCAGGACAGTTGGGCTAGCCTTGGGCTACTCTCAGGCTCCACCAAGGCTTACTGTTGGGATAAGGTGTACCTATGAGTCCTAGACACCTTGGGGGCTGCCTAGCAGAGTGGATCCCCCATCTCAAAGTCAGTTTCCCCTTTCGACAACCGACGTAAGTAAATTCTGGTGCATAATAAGCTCCGATGCAGGCTCCCCCAGCCAGGCCTGATTCAATGAGCAGGGCTCCAGCCTGGAGTCGGAGTGCTGAACAAAAGCCCATGATGACAGGCAGAGGTCAGGCAGTGTCACCCAGGCCACTCGGCTGTTCTCCATCAGCCTCCACAGAGGGGGCTCAGGTCCTGTCATCCGACTAATGCAATTTCCACCAGGCATCTGGGCGGCACTGGAGGCTCCCGCAGCCACAATGGGCCCACTCTTTCCTGTCAAGGCCTGTCGGTCTCCAGACCACCAGCCTCTGTCCAATACCCTCTCAGCCTCTGCTGTTATCTTTGGCTGCTAGGGAGATGGGGTCTGGCCACATGTCTGATAAATGGCCGATGAGAAAAATCAGGGGAAAGGAGGAAGAAATTAGATAGGAAGAAGGTTTAGAACCGACAGCTTTAACCGCTGCTGGGAACTAGGAGGGGTGGCACCTATTTCCAGAAAGGGCATTAACCCATTTTGGACACCACATGCTCCGAAACGTACCGGGGAAGCATGGTAGTCATGTAGAAGTTCTGCCTGACAGTGTGGGGCAATGAAGAGAGGAGCGTGCTACTTAAACAGAAAGAGGTGGTGTCCCGAGGGGAGATAATTCTCATTGGCAGCCCTCGGACAAAACCCTGAATTTGGGTGAAACAGCTGCTCTGGTTTTTCTGGTCACCGCATCCTTCCTGTAAATGGACCCCGCTTTGTTTCAACTTTAAAGAACCCAGTAAAGGGCACGGCTTTCTTTCCCGTCTGCCTGTCACTGTATTTGCCCTGTCCTAGCTGAGTAAAACAGTGGATGGTAGGGAATTTATCCGCTCCCCGTGACAATCTGCTTGTAAATTTTATTAATTTTATTTTCTATTGAGCCTCTCTTCTATGGCTAACAATGCCGCAGCCATGCATCTGCAGGATTGTCTATTGATTTCATAAATACCTCCAGTGGGCTGACAAACTGACAGATTTAATGGTGTTACTGATGGGGTGTGGAGGAGGGCTCAGGACCAGGCGCTTCATTTTCGGTAACCATCCCTTCACAATTATCACAGGGCCTTTGTGAGGTTTCCTAATAGTGTGTTTATCTCGGCATGATGTCTGAGCACAGAGCTATTGTTAAGTCCGATCCTTGGGAGAGACAAGAGCAACCATTTTGGCTGACAATTAAATAAAAATAACAAAATCTATTCATGATGCCTAAGAGCCTAGTTCTGGTCAATTGCTTGTTCGGGTTTCAGTGTCTAAGAGGAAGAAACACGCAGAAGTGACCAGAATGGCATTTCCCCACCTTAAACAAAAGGAAGGCACAGGTTAAGAAAAGGTTGGGCTGTGTGAAGTGGGGTGAGCCTTTTAGGGTGCCAGGAAGAAAGATGGCAGGCCGGGAAGGCTTTCTTGGTTGGGAAGTGGGCTATGGATCAGGATGCCTTTTTAAATAATTAGGCCTCTGAAAGCTAAGGAGAACTGCATTAGCTAACGTGCATTTCCCAGCTTCCGGAAAATGATTAACCGACTGATTATTCCATCCCAAAACACAGGCCCAAAGAGGACTTATTAAGGAGACAGTAAGTGAAATAGGAGTTGGCAAGAACGGATCTATCCCACTTCCAGCCAGCCCTCCCGCAACCTTTTTAATTTACTAAAATGCTTTGGACACAGATTAACTTTCTTGGCAAATTTATTATTGCTTCATCTACCTTGAAGCAGGAACCGCGGACACTTTGATAAATGGATTGAAAGGTTGTCTAGTTCCAGAGGAGCCTTTGAAATGCTTCCGGGGCTCTCCCCGCAATGTCAGGCAAGCTTTGTTCTCAGGGTAACGGTGAGTGACAGTCCTTCCTTCCACCCCTACCCCTGCAGGACTCGGTTGAAAACACTATGGTGGGTACACTTGTCTTGGGTACATTCATTCCAACCTGTCTGTATTAAACGGCAGTTTATACGTAGGGATGGGGGTGGAGGATGGGAGATAGGCATCAAGGTTTCAAGACTTATAAGATTATAAACTTGTAAGATGGGTGGGAACTTCCAGAAACATTGTGAGTGCTTGTTTCTGAAGTGCACGGCGTGACTTCTAAGTTGTATGATCATTCAAGCTGCTTCAGTGCTCTGATTTAGCTCCCTCATCTTTCAAATGGGGTCACGGGTTTATCAGCTTCCTCAACTGGGGGAACAGAATGGGGACACATGGACAGCACTTCGTGCACCTGGAGCACGGAGGACACTCTGCAAATGGTGCTTTTACTTCCCGAGTTTCTTCCTCATTTAGGTTTGGATTTATGTATCTAAAAATGTCCCCAGTCATCACCCGCAGGACACGCACTTAAAACTGGACACAGAATAAAACACACTTGTGTTATTAGTATTCCTTCCATAAAAGTCATGGGAGGAAATGAACGCTTCCCTTGTCCAGACAAAGGACTCTTCATATTTGATTCCAGATCATTTCATTCTGGTTGAAACAATAGAGATTGGTTCAAGAAAGGGGTTGAAACCCTCTAGAGAAGCAGATGAGTGCCCTGCTCAGCCATCATCAGAGAAGTTTCCTCCTGCAGCAGATGGGAAGACATACAGAGACACACAACAAGAAAACACAGAGGGACAGACCTTGGAATACGCAGCCCTAAGTGGATGTCTCCATTAAATCCCCCCCCCCCCACTCCCAGGACTCAGGAGACTTAGCCAAACAGGAGGTGGAAAGAGTGCTTGAGCCAGAGGAGATGGAGGACTCCAAGGGTACAAGGCCTTCTAAACAGAGCATGACTGACACATATATAAACTCAGAGAGACTGTGGCAGCATGCACTGGGCCTCCACGGGTCTGCATCAGCCGAGGCCTGGAGCTGAAAGGAGAAGTAGACAAGGGATGTCCCCGCACCCCCAACCCAGACGCTCTCTCCAACTGATCACCACTTGCAAA